TCCAAGGCTATATGTTAAGTCCAGGGGGGCACCTTTAGGCACAGCAAAGCAAAGGAATTATCAACCTCTGCAGCACTCAAAAAGGACACACACTGGTGTAAGAGAAATTCACACTTCTGTATGCCACTAACAGGATGCCAGACCATCTCATCCAATTGCACCCTTAGACATGATTGGCAAACCTTCGGTGTGCAACATTTATCCAAGTAGAAAATGTTGTTGCTGAAGCAATTTTCAATCCTCCTCTCTTCAGTCTCAGCAGATTTTAATATACAATTGCTGTGGTATCCTTTTGGATTGCTTTGACAGTCTAAGGAGGTGTGTTAGGTGTATTACAGTAACTCTGGTCAGCATGGGGTAGTGGTTGTTGGATTACAACTTGAGACCAGGATTTGATTCTCAGCTCGGCCATGAAATCCACTGTGTGACTTTGGGCAAGTCACACACTTTCAGCTTCAGGAGAAGGCAATGGCAAACCTCCTCTTGCCCCCCAAAAAACTCCTTATAGGTTCGTCTTAGGATCACAGGAAATGACTTGAAGGCACACAACACACACAGTCCTTTATAGTATGTGTCCAGAAACTGGTACTTGGACATACCACTTGCCCTGTGGCATATGCAGTTCCTAAAGATTCTACTTTGAAAATTGTATGAAAGCAAAGGGAGAAGTAATTCAGAGACAATATTGATATGTTGGTCTTCTGTTGGTTCTCTTCTCTGACTTGCCTTTAATTACTAGTTTTTATTCATACTTGTTTTTTTAAAAAAAAATACTAAGAGGATAAAAATACATTGATTAAATAAACAAATATTCAATTTCCCCCAGGGGAACAGGTTAGCAATATGTCATCTGAAACCATGAGAGATCCTCAACATTCTGGGTATGCCTGATTCCCATATTTCTTGGTCAAGCCTGGTAGTGGTATTGGTGAAAAAACTAAAGATCTCCTCACAGTTGGAAGAGGAGCCATGGGCCACTGAGTCCAGCCTTCTGCTCAATACAGGATCTCCTGCTACAGCATCCCCAGCAGGTAACAGTCCAGCCTTTTTTTGAAGACATCCAGAGGAGGTCCCACCAAGTTCCTTCTGCTGTTCAATCAAAATCAATCCTGTAATTTAAAACTATAAAACCTGGTTCTTCCCTTTGGGGAAGGAAAGAATATACCTGTACCCTCTTTGCTGTGATAGACCTTGAAACAGGATCATGGTCCAGACATGGTTCTGCCATGCTTAATTGCAGGTTATGTTATCCTATTGGTGTTGCTGAGAAAAGACTGTGTATCAGTAGTGCCTGGGATAATGCAGATATGTAGGGAGGAGGAATGAGCTGTAATTTTGGGAAATTGTAGCTTGTTATGGGAAAAACAGAGGAGAAAGACCTGGGAAGATAGTATGTATTGAGTTGCTGACAAATTGGATGAAGGCTTTTGTAATAGGTAAATTGTTTGAACTTTAAGTATACTATGTAACTGAAAGACTTCTTCAGTCCTGACATCAACTATGTACTGTGATCTATTCTACTTACTAAATAAAGATTTTCTGAATCTACTGAATGCTTGTGTTACTGGCATGCAATTAGCCTGTACATTACAAATATGTAAAGACTGCAACCATGTCACCCTCAGTCTTCTCATCAAAGATGAACATGCCCAGCTCCTTCAGCTTTTCCTCATGTTTTTTTCTCCATACCTCATATAATTCTTTTTGCCCTTCTCTGAACCTGCTCCAACTTGTATCTGCCAGAATCTGGCACATTCTGTCATAAGGTGGTAGTAGTGGTTGTAATATATAGCATGCTGCTAGAAAGTTATATGAATGTTACAATATATTGGTATGTAGAGATTTTGTAGCACTTTTGAACTGAAAGAAGTTGGCAGCATGAGCTTTCGTAGACTTAAGTCTACTTCCTCAGATGCATTTGGTAGACTCTCTACAAAATGCATCTGAGGACATAGACTTAAGTCTACGAAAGCTCATGCTTCCAATTTCTTTCTTTCAGTTGTCTCAAAGGGGCTCCAAAATCTCTCTACATACTGATTCTACAGACTAACATGGCTATATCTTTGAATAATATATTAGGATATGGTAAATGATGGGATGTATAGTATTAGTAGAAATAACTGGCGGTGGCCTGGCACAGGAATGTGCAGATGTGTGGAGGAGGAATTTTCTCAGAGTCTGCTGGTGAGAAACAGAAAGTAGAGATGTGAACAGGCCAGTACTGGGGACTGGGCAAATGAGTCTGGCATGGGAAAGAGGGTTGGTATGTTTTAATAAGTAAATTAAGATGAAGCCTGCAAAAGTTTGGGGTGAGATATTGTTATTGTTATGTCAATGTTGTTGGATGATGGCACTTCTGTCTTTAGATGTCTTCCTGCTAATGCCTATGTATTTTCTAAAATAATGTTTTACTGTTTGTAATATAGAAGACATGTTTACTGAACTCTGGGGAGCAAAGGCAGTTCTTGACAATAGCATTGTTAAAATGAGGCATCTAGAACTCAACACAGTACTCTAGATGAGGCCTTACCAGTGCAGAATATAGTGGAACTATTACTTTATCATAGAATCATAGAGTTGGAAGAGACCACAAGGGCCATCCAG